TATATATATATATATATATATATATATATATATATATATATATATATCACTGTTTGAAGTATGTTGTAAAGTTGAGCTTCCTGATACCTAATTTCCTTTAATTTTTGAGAACAAATAGACTGATAAATTCTATCAGCCCTGCTGAAATTTCAGGGAGATTTATAAAAGTGAACTTGAAAACAAAAATTGTTTTCAGGACTACTTGTTTGATCAAAGCCTACAAAAAGAAAGGGAGAACTTCAAAAGAACAGATGCTAAAAAAAGACTGAATGTTTCCTGCTGAATGACTACATGATGTTGGCGGATCCTGAGACTTTTTTTGCTTTTGGAGCAATGGATCAGTAATGTTATACAAAAGTTTGAATTATGCTTGAAAGTGTAAATACATTATCATAAGCAATTGAATTTAGGCAATTTACTACCTGTAAATATGCTGTCATAAGCAATTGAATTTAGACAACCTTTCTGCAGATGACTACAATCCCACTTTTTGTGCTAACTTCAGGTGGTGCTGAGGCAGTGATGAATGAGACAGATGCTAAATTTAAATCCAATAGCAGATGCTGAACAATTTTGACAAGCCACAAGCCAGTACAACAAGCTCCTTTAATGTGTTTCTTTAACATCACCAGTGTTTAGGATAGAAAGTTATATGTGCTTTGAGGCACTCTTTTCTTGTTATTTTTAGTCCAAAGCATATTTTCATTTGTTAGTTGCTACGAAATCTGCATTGAACCAAATGATTTCTGTTGTTTGAAGCACTGATTCTATGCTGCATAAAAGCTGTGCCTACATACAGTACAACTTGTTGGAAAGTGAGATGATTACTAGTCAGATTCTGTTTCTTAGTAACACCAAATACTGTTTGATTTTTATCTCTTGCTGAAACAGGGTCATCAACCCATCACTGGGGAGCCTGTGGTGTGGGGAAAATCTTTAGAGGTTTAAGGATTTGGCAGCTGTTATAGTGACAGGGGTATCTACACCTTGAGTTACAAATGATTTTTTAAATTTAACTTTTCTAGCCAAACACATAATAAGGTTGCCAGATAAAATAATAAATAATGCCACTGTAAACTTGAATTTCAGATAAATAACAAGTTATATTTTAATACAACTCGAATATTGTTGGGGACATACATGAAAAATTACTCATTTATCTCAATCAAATTTAGACAACATTTTTATTTACTAAATCTGGCTAGCCTAAGATATTTCATTAAGATATAATGAAAATGCAGTGAAAAATAAATGTCAGTTTTCTCTGGCTCTGTCACATCTCATTCACTGTTAGTGTCTGAAAAATTTGCAGAAATAGTTTGTAAATACATACCTCTTAGGCTTTACAAACATATGCCTATTAGTTTTTACTTGCGCAAGCATTCTCTCTTATTTTATACAAGTAGTGGCAACTTCACACATTGTCTTGAACCTTATTTTTCAAATTTAACAATATATTTCAATCATGTGACCTTTTTTTTATAAGACTCTATGGAAAATATGAACTAGTGTGAAGAGTATGGTCTTTAAAATTGGGCATGATTTATTTCAAGTTACAACTTCTCCAACGTACTATTTGGTGACCTTGAGTAGGACTTTAAATTTTCCTCTATGGTCTTACCTAGAGAATGGAAAGAATGCTACATGTGGCACTAGAAAATACTATGGGGAACAAGATGGTCAGGGTAGTTGTGCTCATGTGATCTTCCTACCTCAGCCTCGCAGAGTGCTGAATTACGGACATGTGCCACCACTATGCAGTTGTATGGAGTATTATATTTTCTTTATAAATAGGAATTAAAAATATCACCTGTTTAAGACCTGCCTGTAGTCTACATCACGATGCCTATTGAAATGGACTCAGCATTAATCTTAGATACATATTTTATAGTTATGAGGTGTTCTGTGAGCTGTAAATTGGCATACTTTATTTCTCGTATTTATCACAAGATTCCTGCTGAATGTTTTCTAGGAAAATGCAGTTGAGATGTTTGGTCCCTTGCTCAAGGTCACACTGCTATTTACTGTGTGGGAAGTCAGACAATACCCTCTTTTCTTGAAACCAGGGCACTTTTTAAATCATGCGCCAGCCGTTGAGCTATTGGACTGGATGGAGCTGGTGTTTTCAGTGTGTGTTCTCAGTTGGGATAAGGAAAGGCAGTAAGTAATGTTCTTTTATTACAGAGAGCAGATCGTAGGCATCGATGTTCTGTGCATCTTCTCATCCACATCACACACTTCCTTTTGCGCCATATGTACTTTCCTTTCAGGAGGGGCCTAGGCAACCTGTTTCTTTCTATGATAATTTACCTGTCTTATCTTCTAGATGAGGAATGAGGTTGTGTGGTGGTAGCTTCCGTTTCTTCACTGGAAGAATGATCAGTTGACTTCCTCAAGACTTCAGGATTTTCTGTGAGGCAAATGTAGATGTAGCTGTGAGACAGTTGTACAGAATTGTTGGCCAGCACAGATTGAAGATGGGCAGGGATGTGGACTTTGGCAGTGCGGAACTGTGTGCAAAGAATCTAGTTAAACATTGTTAGAGAAAGATGAGATCTGTGTGGGTTGAAGAAATTGAGAAGTTTTTCTTTTTTGAATGGGAAGGAGAATATTATCAATGGGAGGGTGTTTTAAAAACCTTTGAAAAGTTTAACACTATGCTTTCTTTTATTCCATTTTTAATCCAGGATGTAATGTATTATCTTCCAGTGGTTAATATACTGACTTAGTGTTGCCATTCATTTCTAATGAGTATGTGTATATTGTTTCCCCAGTTAAGACTAAACATTTCAGGGCAAGATTATATCTTCTTTGTAACATTTTCCCCTCAGATTTCTTAAGCACACTCAAGTAAGTTCCTTACTCTGTGGTTAAGGATCTGTACATCAATCTGAGATCACAGTGTTCTATGTTGAGAGGCTCTTAAGGAAGTACTTTGGAAACATCTATCATCTTATTTAAAACAGAATTTATGCCTTCCTCTTTATTATGCAAGTATTACTGGGAATACATATCACTTCGAATAAGTTAAAAAATGTTTACTTTTTGCCTATAAAGAGAACTATGTTAACCCAATAGGATTTTAATGCTTAAAGAAATTAAAATAGTATCAGAAACTTTGTAGGGCAGTTTTAGAATACAGTTATAAAGTTCTGATAAAATATAAATATTTCATTTTATTTCTTGTCTCCCTAGGGTTTTATTTTAGTTGCTGTTTTTAATCATTATAGAGGAAAACACTGAACTTTGAAAAAAATGTTGGAAACTGTAGGTAAGTCATACTCCTTTTTGTCTACTTTTGTAAGAATTAAAACTCCTTCCATTGGGATAGTTGAATATAATGTGTTCTGCACAGCAGGACTCTTCCTATAATAACTCAGATTTAAAGTTCTAACTGTGAGCATTTTACTATGGTAATGGCTTTCTGTACTTGAACAATTTTTTCTGTTATAAAAAATACATCCTTTGTAAGGAAAAATAAACATGAGATGTGCTTCCGTTATGGGTTTTCATAAAATTTAATGTACACCAATTCTGATTGTTGAACTCAGTTCCTGCTAATGTATTTTTTTGAATGGCACCAGAGAGATTAACAGTATTTTTGATACTGAAAGCTCATCCCTTTTTCTTGTGTTTGTGGCAAGTGAAATACTACTGAACTCTTGCTTTTAATTAATGAAAGAGATCAATTGCAAGCACTTATGCTAGAAAACTTAATTTAAGGCACATTAATTTCTACATGAATTTAGGTTGAAATATCCAACCATGATTGAGATTGAAATACCCAAATTATCTCAAGCTCATATGTTAATTGCTTTTTTGCACTATTCTTTAGTTTTAGAGAAACTAGCTTTAAAAACTGTTTACAGGTGTAATTGGGTGTGATACATACCTGCATTCATCTGACAGCCCAATCCCTTGTCTATTCCTGGTAGCTTTTTGGATATGCAGATTGGAATGTATCTGTGATTTTACTCTCGCACCGTGATGATTGTGCTTGCTTCCTTGGCAGGTTATGAGGGGTAAAGGAAGAGTAGGTGGCAGTAAAGGAAACAGGAGGGTTTTTGTGATCATGTGACTTGTTGGTTCTATGCTGATCATAGAAACACATGGATGTACATTTCTGTATCACTCTCTGTTGAAGCCAAACATCATAAAGACTACTAGCCAGCACAGGGAAGTTCCTCATAAGAGAATGGAAAAAAGAAATATAGAATAATTGCAACCATTACTTTCTTTTATTGTATTAGCTATTACTGAGTTTTACAACTTCTAAGAATTGGCATGAAAATTAATAATAGATTTATATGCTGAGCTATCTTGGGAAATATAACCCAGAACAAAATTCTCATGTGTGTCTTGCTTTAAAATTTTTGCTTTGGCAAATATTGTTCATTTTAATTTGTGTGTATATGTGAATTTATGTTAATCTGCTATTTCAGTTACCCCATTTCTGCATAATTTCAGCTTTGGAGATATATGGAAAGTTATCTCTGGTAATGATTACAGGAAATATGCAAGTGAGATATTAGGACTAGTAGGACATATTCAGAAATTTACCATTGCAACTAAGTGTGTGATATATAAGGTACTTAATAATTATTTAAATTAGATTAGTTTGAAACCTATCAATATCTTATTTAATTTTGAGGGAAGACATTTCAGTAAATATGCTGATGGTTTTGAAAGAACATGTATTATTTTGATTTATTTCTGTATAAATTCTCAATTATAGAATGTTTTGCTTTTTAATATATAAAATTGTTATATTTTGGATATTGTGATTCAGCATTTTCATGATTACAATTCATTTGGTTTTATATAATTTTAATGAAAATTGAAAGAGCTGGCATTTGAATTAAAGAATGTATCATCTGAATTATTTTGTGACTTTACAAGCAACTGATATATTCCCTTCTATATGTAAATTTTTATTTATATATAAGAAAAATTGGTACTCTTAACTCCCTAATAAGTGGATGTGGATATTGTCATTGAATTATAACATCCAAAATACAACAGTTTTATATGTTAAGGAGCAAAGCATTCTATAATTTTGAATTTACTTAGAAATACATCAGAATAATACATGTTCTTTCAAAACCATTACATTTTATTCATTGAAATATCTTTCCCCAAAATTAAATAGGATATTTATGTATGTTTCATACATTACACCCAGTTCTCTGCTTTTAAACAGACTCCTACAAAATACTTCAAAGTTTGAAGGGCACATTTATTGAAATGTGTTACAGAGACCTTCCCTTTTTTCTCCACATGAATCCGAATCCACCAATTACATTGATTGGAAGCATATGTATATATATTATATGTCATAGTTACTTTTCTCATTGCTGAGACAAAGCACCCAGCACCCAGAGTTAAAAGAGGAAAGGTTTATTTGGCTCACAGTTTGTAGAGGTTTCAGTCTGTATCAGCTGTCTCCAAGGCAAGGTGGCATGGCAGAGGAGAAATACATCATGGCAGGCAGAAGAGTTCAAAAGGAAGCAAGTGACACACCCAAGCAACAAGCAAAAGCAACTAGCAGCAAGCCTGTTTCTGTCCCTTATACTGTATCTGGGGTACTGCCCTTCAGGCAGATGGCATGCATACTCCTGATCCTAGCACCATTAATTGTACCATTGCCAAGTGAATCGGTCACATGCTGTAGATCCAGCCCCATCTATGACTGCATGAGGCTTTAGGGCGACATCTAGATACAAACCCTAATCCTGTTTAATTTTGAGGAAGAATATTCAAAGTATCAAAAAGTACCCAACCTTGTACTTCTTGTACTGTTGTACTCTGTTAAAATTTTTTGTACTTTTGTTCAAGTAAAGAGACAATTTTGTGCATTCAAAAGGAACAATTTTAGGATTTCTACAACATGGGTCCTCATAGGTTTGACTTGTATATCTTAAATCTTGTTATTAACTAATACTGTTCTTTGGAATAGACAAAAATCGGGCCCTACAGGCAGCAGAACGCTTGCAAGCCAAGCTCCGAGAACGTGGGGATGTAGCAAATGAAGACAAACTAAGCCTTCTGAAATCAGTGCTGCAGAGCCCTCTCTTCAGTCAGATTCTGAATCTACAGGCCTCTGTGCAGCAGCTGAAAGACCAGGTAGGAAGGACATCACTGGTTGAGCCTGCATTCTCAGCCTGGGCTAGATCTTATGAAAGGCTTGTGTTTTTCTGAAGGCTGATTTTTGTTATGTGTCAGTGAAGTCATTTAAATCTCTAAACAAGACATTCAGATTCACTGTTGCTTTTTTCCTCCAGTTATTTTTGTGAGGGTTGTTGCTGTGTATTGTAGATGATATGACACTGTGTTGAAAGCTGTGTGGATGTGGAGGAATGAGTTCGTACAGGAGACAGGATGATAAAGAATATGCTCAGGGTGCATGGCTGTGGGCTTGGTTTCCATCATCACTAGACTCATTGTTCATGTGATCTTGCTCATTCAGATTCAGACATTTTGTGTACTTACAAGATTTCAGATAAGGCTGGATTTGCATGTGTAATCAGGTGTGTAAGGAAGGGAAATTGCCTCTATTTTGACAGTAATAGAAATAATTACATTGTCATCAGCTAGAGGAATTGCAGTTCTCACTTCCTAAGAGTGTAAGTAGCAATGATTGCTTCCATGACAGCATCAGATGGTGATAAACATTAGAACTTCTAAATGTAACAGTTTTTTTCTGTAAAAATTATGAGCACTAAAAAGTTTGAGCACTTACATTGAAATTGAAATATATCCCAATGACAGAATGAAACCAAAGTCAAATGTTCTTTTAATTTACTTAATTTAATCACCATTCCTCAGGTTTTTAAAAAATCTTTTTAAAGCAGTTATATCGTCACAAGGTTTGAAATCAGTCTAATTATGCTTTCATGTCAGTACTCATTCTCATGTTTTTAGCATTAATTTAATTAATGGTTATGGATGACTTGTTAGCAAATATTCCCCCTTAAAAGGTTAAAAATGAGACTTGAAGAATAATCTCATAATTCAATGAAAGAACAACTCCAATTAAAAACTAAAACTGTGCCAAATACAAAAGAAAAAATAGTAGTATTACAGGATGAATTTGTTTAATGTTATGTAACGTCCAAATCTAGATATGTATTTCTCTAGCCTCTTGACCCACCCCCAAAAAAAGTGAATTAAGTATCTTCAAAAATATTTTTCTATAGTGAATTGCTATTTGGAGTTTGAAGGTCACAATCATAAATTTATAGTTGTTTTTTTTTATATGTAGTTGGGTTGCATTTATACCTTTTTGCAAGTTATCGAAAAGACTGGTTTTCACTAATGATTTTCAAAATGGATTGGTAAGCTTTTGGAAAAACCAGCACTCTGGATGTAAGTGACATGGAAAATTATCTTGTTTCTTTTGGACTGTAAAGATGTTAAACAGATGTGCTTTTGCTTATTGTATTGAGTGAAAATATGAGTAGAATGAGAGGACAGTTGAGACAAAGAGTACTGGCAGATACTGTTTTGACCTCTACTACTAGTTTAGTGGGTAACTCTTGATAGTCCTGGGGAGCCAGCCTTATGGAAGGGCAGAAATATTTCTGTCTACTGTGTTTAATAAAGCAAGGGAACAAAGATACCTACTTGTTGAGTTTGTTTTACATTTCTAACACAGTAAATCCTCACCTTATGAATGAGTTCAATTCTGGGAGAATGTTCGTAAATCAGACTCATTCATAAATCCCACAAAATGAGTCTTACACGTTTGACACAAATACACAATGTGAAGCATTAAAAAAAACCACACATACATATACTGTAAGTAAATTATTTTGACTTTTACAGTTACCTTAAAATTGTGTAAATACAGTGGACCCTCAAGTTATGACCGGCCTGACATACAAACAACTTGTGTTAATTAGGTTAATGGAAGATTCATCTGCCTCTTGTTATCTATAGCATGTACCCAGGTAAACTTCAGATCTCAGCTGTATTGACTTACAGCCAACTTGAGTTACAACCAGCCTTTGGGAACTGATTGAGTCTGTAAGTCAAGGGTCCACTGTAAACTGCTTTGCAATGACCTTAAAGTGATATGGTAGACAGAGTGAATTAATTCCACAATTTGTTCCCATTCATGAATGTTTCTAATGAGAAGTCCCTTAGTATGTTAGTTTACAACTTGAATGTTCTTAATTTGGGGATTTAATGGTACTTGGGTCCTACATGACTTAGGTGAAGCCTGCTTGGAAATCCAAGATGCATAGTCATGAAACTTCCTGTTCTGTGATTAATATAGTTTGATACTGTTTGCTCAGTGATATATTTCAAGACTAAATTTTAAGATTTGTGAATTCTATTGGCATTTCTTACATGTCTTTGAACTTTTGTCTCCTTAGTCCCTTTTTTTTTTATAGGAGAGAAAACTAACACTCAGATGGGCCAAGAGAAACGTATAGTTTGAAGCATGTTTCTACCAGTGGCTCAGAAATGTTAAGTGGCTTGTTTATAAGGGTAGAGCCAGCCTAGGGTTTCTTAGCTCCCAAGTGCCATCCTTTCTCTGTTTTGGCTCTGTGGCCTATCTTATGTCTTTTTTTTGTTTTCAAACGTAGAAACTTAATTGGTAGAGTGAAGAGTTTCATGTTGATAAATTCTCAGAGTTTCTGTGATTTTTTTCACTCCAGTCTCCATTCTTTATTAATTTAATTCTGGTTATTAGCTTATTTTTTCTTGAAAAGTAGAATAAAATTTCAAAAGCTATATTATTTTCTATTTTAAAATTTGAATCAAATATTCTCAACTTTGCCATGTTAGAATTACAAACTGCTAATTTAATATTTATAACTTAATAATTAATGGACCTAAGGAACACAATTTGTTTAATACTTTTAAAGCAGTGACTACACAACTCACCATTGGCTAGCTTTCACCTGAAAGCAGCGACTGTACAACTCTTAGCATTGGCTACCTTATACCTGAGTTATATTTTCAAATGTATAATTTTACATGCACAACAGATGCAAGCTGTTTCCACTTTTTTTATTATCACTAGAAAATTTGACCTCTCCCTTTCTTCCTCTCCATCACTTTCCTGTCTTCTAGAGAAGCAGAGGACGTGCATAATGGAAATGCCTGCGGTATATACAGCATATTGGAGAGCATGATTATATTGTTGCTTAATGACAGATGCTGACATGCCATGTTGAATTAAGTCTACAATTTTTTCCCTCAGATCTTTCTCATTACTTTTATTCAATAATGTTTAAATTTTGCAGTTTGCTTCTTCAATATTGACTGCCCTTAGAAATCAAACTGTTTCCCTTTGGCAAAGTAAACGTTTGACAGGTGTGTAACTGAGAGGGCAGAAAAACCCTGCCCTGAAGGGATGTGCTATTTAAATATTGTCAAAAATATTAACAGGTCTGAGAGTATAATTGATGCCTCTGTTTAACTCTGTCACATTGTGTATTGTTCTCACAGCCAGCTAAAAGGATATGTGCTATTAAACCTGAATAATCTCTAATAGCTCCTGTTCATTTCCTATTGCATCATTCCTGTTTAAGTGAAGAGAGAGAAAAAAAGCAACTCTGTGTGTCAATGATCTGTCAAATGCAAATTCTCAAGTAGTGTGCTCACTGTCACCTAGTTATCACAGCTAATAACTACAGGCTTAATGTGTATTCATGACAAAAATCCAGCTATTGTGGGGAAAATAAACACGTTATCAGTTTAATAATAGAAACTTGTCAGCCTTGAGGATACTGGATTTGCATATTTATTCTCTGAAGTTTCTCAGTCCAATATAGGTGGATGCTCCTTTCCTGATTAATTAATTGCCTTGCTTTATGTATTGACCACAGGAACTAAGTTAATCTCCTTACCCTAAGCTATTTGTGGAAAAACTGTTAAATAAAATTATTAATTTTAATACAAACTTAAGGCCAATACTTAGAAATTGACATTGTTAAGACTATTTTTAAAGCTGTGTCAATGCAGACCAATTCTAAGATTTGAGAAATAACGTGGATAACCACGGATATAAAAGATGCCTGTATGAAAGGTGAGCCTCCAGGCACAGAACATTCAGGTCTCCTCTTGACACTAATTTTCAGCCTTTCTACAGTGTAACATTCTGTTGTTTTGTTGTTTAATATTTCCTGGTTCCTAGTTCTTCATCTTCCTCCCAAAATGTGTTGGCTTATACACATTTCATCAAGATATATAATGTGTATGTACACAATTGAAGTTACATTTTTCTTTGGACAGTTATGATACCTCTTGAACTAACTGGAGAGATACTGAATTAACAGAGAATCAAAATCAGAAATTACTGTTCAGTGTTCATTTTTATTCTAGAAATACTGTATTCATGGTGTAACATTTTTGTTCTATTTTTCTATATTTGTAAGATTGTAAGATTTGCCTGTTCACATCCCAAAGAAGATTTTGAAACAACTTCCAAAGGTATTCACAATGAATAGTGGATACTTCAAAGGTCAGGCTACTGCCTGGGGATGTAGATTAATGATAGAATGTTTGCTTGGCAAAAAAGAAAAAAAGAGAGAACAAGGAAAATAGAAAAAGCAACAAAGATTATATATGAGTATCAAAGACCTAGATAAGAAAGAACTTTTGAACACTAGAAATCAATAAAATTTCAATAATGAAATATAGAACACAGGAAACTAGGAAGGAGAAAGGTTGTAAAAGGAAGGAATTACTTAGCTTTTCACTGGGAGAAAACTTCACGTTGGAGGTAACAACATTTAAGATGGGTTTTGAAAAAATGGGTAGAAATTTTCTTCGGAGATAAAGGGAGCAATATTGACAAGGGCATAGAGTAGTTGCTTTCACCTGAGGGTGATTTTATGCTCTTCCTCCCCAGGAAACATTTGGCAGTATCTGGAGTCAGGGGGGTTTTTTTGTTGGTTTTTGTTTTTTTTTTGGTACTGGGGATCGAAGTTGGGTCCTTGTGCTTGCAAGGCAGGCGGTAGAACCACTGAGCTAAATCCCTGGCCCTGGAGTCAGTTTTGATTGTCATAACTGGAAGGTAACCAAGCTCTACTGATGTATAACAGGTAGGGTTTTAGGATGCTGCTGGACATCATATTGCAGTGTGTAGTACAGCCGCCTGCAACAAGGAA